AGTGAGGTGCGTGTAGGTAGGAAACCTCCCCCATGTTGAGACCTTTATCCAACGGAGGCTACAATACATGATACTTTGAAAATATCTTCTTAGGCACCAAAGGTTTGTGGAGGGTGTTTTTGGGGGGATGCGGTGGGGTTTGGGTGTGCTAGCTGTGGAATGGGTTGGAGATGGGAGCAAAGAGGTGCTTGGGCTGCCTGGGTCTTAAGGCATTCACAGCGGGGGGCCTTCTCAACACCCCACCAGCCCCCTTCCCTCCTCAGCAGCAGAGGCTCAGCTGGGGCCTGGCACAAGGTCAGCACACACTGCTTATGCACCTGCTGTGTGCAGGCACAGTAGCTGAGCCCAGTCCTCCCACCCCGTTCGGCAAGGTGGCAAGGGCTGTGGGGAAGGCTTGGGGAGGCTGACGCCCAGGATCACACGACTCGACAGGAGGAAGTCACGTGGACTTGCAGGCCATGGCCAGGTCTCCAAGGGTGGCTGTGCTGTGGTCAGTGGATGGCCATGTGCTCGGGTCCTCTGTCCAGGCAGCTCTGAGGCCAGAGTGGCCCTGGCTCTCATCTCTTCATCTCTCTCTCTCTCTCTCTCTCTCTCTCTCTCACACACACACACACACACACACACACACGGCATCCTTCCCATCTCTCCTTCACACACACACACTCCTTCCCCACCTCTCCTTTTCATCTGCCTTTTCCTTCCGTTCCCAGGAGCGAGGTGGCTGTGGCTGCAGGCAGCGCTGTGGTCAGCAGAGGGCGCCAGAGCCCGTCCACACAGCCCCGGGCTGGGGCCTGATCCTGCAGTGGAGCTGAGGGCCAGGCAGCAGGGAGAACCGTGTGGGCCGAGGGCCAGGCAGCAGGGACAACAGTGTGGGCCGAGGGCCAGGCAGCAGGGACAACCGTGGGGGCCGAGGGCCAGGCAGCAGGGAGAACCGTGGGGGCTGCCCCCTTCTCCTCCTGCGGCCTGGGCTCTGACCTGTGCACCTGCACACGGGTCGGTGGACACACGCACCCTGCTGTGTGTGCACGTCAGGCTGTGTGGCATGTGTGTTGTGTGTGTGCTGTCCTGTGTAAGGCTGCACCTGCCTTCTTAGCATGTTGATCTAAGAAGGAAAAATTTTTAAAAATTAAAAAAATAAAAACTTCAGGGAGTGATGAGAGGGAATTCCTTTCAGAGAAAATCAAATCAATTAGCAATTTAATTGCTTTAAAAAAAATTCACAATTGATTGCTGAGTGACTTACCGGGCAAAGTATGATTGAATTACTGTGAATTTGGAAGAAGCTGTCTCTTGCCCGAGTCTCTTGTTAGCTCACAGGTTTCTCCCCAGGGGCATCACAGATGGCTGGGTTGGGGTCACAGAAGCTGCCCTATATGCCAGGGGCTCGCGTGAACTGGGCCAGTCCAAAGCAGGAGGCAGGAGCTTCTTTGCAAGGGTCTGAGTACTTAGGCCATCCTCCTCTGCTTTCCCAGCCGAGTTGGGTGGGAAGTGGAGTAGCCAGAACTTGCACCTGCTCCCTTTAGGGCATGCTGGCGCAGCAGGCAGTGGGTTTCCCTGCTGTACCACAGTGTTAGCCCAGGGCTGGATGCCTCTGCCCTAGGCTTCCCGCATGCTGTCTTTCCTCAGCTTGCCAAGCTGCAATCCCCAGGCATCTGGCTTTTTTTTTTTTTTAAAGATTTATTTTTATTATTATTTTTTTTATTGGAAAGGCGGATAGACAGAGAGGACAGACAGAGAGGAAGATCTTCCATCCGATGATTCACTCCCCAAGTGAGCGCAATGGCTGATGCTATGCCGATCCGAAGCCAGGAGCCTCTTCCGGGTCTCCCACGCGGGTGCAGGGTCCCAAAGCCTTGGGCCGTCCTCGACTGCCCTCCCAGGCCACAGGCAGGGAGCTGGAAGGGAAGCGGGGCTGCCGGGATTAGAACCGGCGCCCATATGGGATCCCGGGCATGCAAGGCGAGGACCTTAACCACTGCACCACCGTGCCGGGCCCGCATCTGGCTTTTAGCAGCCTCTTCTTATACAGCATCCCTCGCCTGCTGCAGGGACCAGAGACGCAAAGCAGAGAAGGATCAGCGAGACAGACGCACTGACAGCCATGGCCTGGCAGGCGGGATCGGGTTTGCAGCGTTTGCTTGCTTTCCCCTGTGCACTGGGGCAGGGGCGAGGGTTGGGGGGTGTCATTTGTTTGGGGGACCTTGCCAGGAAGCAGGAGTGGGGAGGGGGCAGGGAAAGAGAGCCCTCGGTGTGTTCCAAGGCAGGTTTGAACCAGGTCCACAGGGTGTCCATGTGGCATGGGAGGTTAGGGTGCTGGCAGGGGTGCCATCAAGAGGCTGAAGTGAAGTCCCTAGGTCTGAGCAGCATGGAGTCCTGGGTGACCCTGGGGAGGGGGCAGGCTTTTGGGGGAAGAGGCTGAATCAAGACAAAGACACTACTGTGACCTGGGCATACATGGTGGGGAGCTGCTGGGACCGGGCCACAGTGAGCGGAGTGCACGCCAGCCTGCCTGCTTTTGGCCCCGGGGCCAGGGTACTGGGCTGGCACCTGCTGGCTATCTTTGTCCTTGGGATATGTGGCTTGGGGCATGCCCCAACTCTGCAGGCAGTCATCTGACAGAGAAAAAGAGAGAGGGAGAGAGAGGGAGAGGAAGAGAGAGAGAGAGAACAGCAGGGGGCACCACTGCCTGGGGAGAATGACCAGCAAAGCCAGCATCCCCACGTGTGGAAAACTTCTAGTTGATCCAGGCCTCCCCTGATAGCACGCACTCCAGGCCTGGGGGCTCTGTGGCCCCTGGACATGGGAGGGATCAGGAGAGGGGTGTCAGTAACAGGTGGCACAGTAAGCAGCTGGTGGTTGCTTAGGTTGGGCTCCTGGCTATGGAGGGCTGAGAAGTGGCCTCCCTCCTCAGAGCTTCATCCTGATCCCAGCACCTGTGAACGCTGCTCTCCAGGGCCAGGGCCAAGGGGAAGGTGTGATGAAGATGCAGGTGTCGAGATGGGACTCAGCCCTGGGTGGGCCCTGATGCAATCCTACAGGTCTGCAGGGAGGAGGCGGGAAGGTACAGGGCAATCATCAAGGAGTGAAACAGACAAGCAGAGCGACAGAACCCTTGAGGTGGAGGGTGCCCAGAGGACGCCAGCCCTGCCCACACTGCAACGTCAACCCGGTGCGGCTGATCCTGGATCTCTTCTGGCCTCCAGAGGAAATGGAGCATGCCTGCAGGCCACTAAATGTTTTATCGGGGTTGAGGCAATCGCAGCCCCACTGAGGGCGTCCGTGGTATGAACTCTCCTCTCCAACACCATTGTGACCCCCCTAGAACAGATCTGACCCGGGAGGTTCTCTCCCTGGGACACCCCCTGTCCTCCACTGCAGCCTCTGCAGTCCCCTGCTGGCCAACCGCCGGTGCTGTGCTTGGCATGGGGGCACGCGCCCTCTGCAGGCCATTGTGTACCCTGCAGGCTCCTCTTCCGGCCAGCTGCAGAGTGATTGCGGCATAGGGGCACCCTGGGGTGTCTTTCCCGCCTCTCCCCAAAGCTGAGAACCTGGCATTGACCTTGGAGCCCTTCCTTGGAAACTCGCCCTCAGGCACACCTGCTTCGGAAGAGGCAACGAATGCTGGCTGAGGGGTGGGGGTCGTGAGCGGGGGCTGCCCTTATTTGCATTATAGTTGTATATATTTGTACCTTATTGGCTCTGACCCCAGCCCTCATAGGTGACATCACTGTCACGGCCTCTGGGGACTTGGATGCTTATGAATTCCCTAAAGAGATTCCTTTCTACACAGGCTCAGAAATTAACTTGGAAGCTCAATTCTAAACTCACTCAGTGGGAGGGAGGGCTCTAAGGTGGGGAGGTGAGCCCTGGAGGGGTGCAGGGGGGCCCAGTGGAGCACTCAGGATGCTGTGCTCCCCGGTGTGGTCACTGCCGTCCCCTAGGCCAGGGCCCACCTGCTGGAAGACCCTCATCTTCCCTTCCCTGGGGGTCTCAGACCCTTGCTTGACGGAGGCCATGGTCAGCCTAACCCAGCCCTGTCTACTCTTACCCTCATCAGACACCTGTGCACCCTGGGGGTTTATAACCCAGCCTATGTTCTGGCAATTCCACTTCCGTCCAGCTCCCTGCTAATGGGCTGAGAAAGCAGCCTGGGGGTGGCTCAAGTCCTTGGACCCCTGCATCCATGTGGGAGACCAAAAAGAAGCTCCTGGCTCCTGGCTTCTGCCTGGCCCAGCCCCTGTCATGGCAGCCATCTGGGGAGTCAACCAGCAGATGGAAGATCTCTATCTGTAACTCTGCCTTTTAAACAAATAGAGGTATTTAAGATGGTACTCCAAGGGAAGAGACTCAGGCTGGCTGCAGGTGGCACAGGGTTGCGTGATGAGAGCTCTCGATTGTGGCCTGTGGGGCCAGCAGTGCTCACTTCTTCACTTGAACTCTGGGGACTGACAAGCCGGCAGGTGGGAGGTGCTGAGTAGCCGAGGCCCGGGGCAGTTTTGGCGTTCACCCCTGGGAGGCTCCTCTAGCAGCAGGACAGGGGTGGGGTGTGGGCTGTGCCTTAGCCTGGGGAGACAGGTACTGTTCAGCTCCATTTGTGGGCTGAGAAGAAGGTGCCATGATGAAGCAGGCTTGGAAGCTGACAGTTCTCTGGGGAGAAACCGCAGAGGTCTGGGCCCTGTCCCACCATGGAGCCGGGGCAGGCGGAGGCAAACTCAAGAGAGGATGTTGGGCACGTGGGGAGTTAGGGGAGCAGCGGTGGGAGGGGTGGAACAGGAGCCAGACTCACCTCCCTGGACCAGCACTGGTCCTTCCCTTAAACATTTACTTGTCATTGTGGATGCCTTGCAGCCATGGAGCTCAGTGGGGGACAAGTAGCTGACCATTCAGCCCAGCCCCCAGCCTCTGACCCCCCACCCCCAGCCTCCCAAGGGACCCTTTCTTCATGTCCCACGCTGCCTTGGCCCCACATCGCCCACCACGAGCCACCACTGCAGAGGCTGCTTCTTTTGTGCTGTATTATTTCCTTGCCCTGAGCTCTGGCAGACTTTGTCCTGACCCCACGGCTGAGGAAGCACCTTCCTCTGTCCCCACGGAGCGCATCCATCCTCCATGACCCGTTCCTTCTCAGAGAAGGAAATCCTTCAGCGGCTGAGGAATCTAGGGAGAGGGGAGGAAGGAAAGAAGGGTTCTAGCAGGTGCAAGGCAGGAGATGCTGGCCTGCTGTCCTCATTCCTCACTGCACCTACCCAGCTGGCTGCCTCCCCTTGAACCCCGTGGGTGCCCAGACCCCACTGGATGCGCACAGGGGATGGGGGAGGGGGTAAGGGCCTTAATACCAGGAAGTGCAGCCTGCTGAAGGAGGACGGGCCCGTGACACACACAAGCCAACAGCGAGAAGATTACACAGATCGATTTCTACAGGTTGGTAGCTGAGAACCTGGCACAAATGCCAGGCCTTAATTGGGTGCACCTGCCATGGACTAGCTGGGAAGGTCAGGGGGACGCTGAGATGGAGGAGGAAGAAGCAGAGGAGATAGAAGAGGGAAGAGGAGAGGAGGTACAGGAGGAGAGCTCCCTGGGCAACTCACTTCCTTTTGGATGAGCTCAGCATAAACCATGCAGGCGGCAGAGATCAACTCATCAGCATCAAGGTCAATGAGGTTGTTGCAGGCCTGGCGGGAAGAGGAGCAGATCAGGGCAGGTGTTCTGTGCACTCGCGGGCTGTCACCTGGGGCACCTGCTGGTTAACTGAGGCATGGCAACCTCTCGGCTTCCCTTGTGCTTTGCCATGGGACTCCTGGAGACGCTGCAGCCGTGTCACCTGCCCAGGGCCCCTGGGTGTAGAGCTCCATGGTGGGGACCCTGTGGATCCTCCCTGGGGCTCCAGCGGGCACTCACCAGGAGGATGTCGTCACCGCTCATGCTGTTCAGCAAGACCTGCTCACGCACCATCTGCAGCATGCTGTAGGCCACCAGCACCTGAAAGTTCCTACATGGCTTCCCTGCCAGCAGAACCTGTAGGTGGGTATTTCAAATAGGCCCTGCAGCCCAAGCCTGGGGGTGCCCTAGGGGTGCCCAGCTCCCCTAGCCCAAGCAAGGGCTTCACTGCTTACTCATCCATCCAGCCACCCACCCATCCATCCATCCATCCATCCAACCACCCATCAATCCACACACACACATCCATCCACTCATCCATCCATCCACCCACCCACCCACCCATCCATCCATCCACACATTCATCCATCCACCCACCCATCCATCTGTCCATCTATCCACACACACACATCCATCCATCCAACCACCCATCCATCCACTCATCCATCCATCTATCCACACACACATCTACCCACCCATCCAACCATTCATATATCCATCCATCAATCATTCACCCATCCATGCATCCATCCATCTACCCATCCACCCATCCACCTCTCCATTCATCCACTGATCCACACACCCATTCATCCATTGACACACCATCCACACATCCAGCCACACACACATCCAGCCACATCTACCCTTCCAGCCATTCACCCATTCACCCATCCACCCACCCACATACCTATTCATTCATTCATCCATTCACCCACTCATATATCCATCCTTCATCCATCTATCCACGCATCAATCCACACACCACCCACCCACCCATCCATCCATATATACACCTACCCACCCACCCATTGCCTCACTCAGCCATGGCATTAGCTAGTGTGGACCTAGACAGGAAAAGACAAAGCAAGGGTTGCTGGGAATTCAGCATTCCAGGGTGCCACCAAGGCCTGTGGGTGGCAGTGGACTTGGGCATGGAGACCAGGAGGCCCAGCAGGTGAGAGCTGACAGATGGTATATCAGATGATAGACAGGCCCTGGGCAGGGCAGTGATGGAAGCTATGCCCCTCCATTTGCTGGTGGTCCTGGCAATTGCACTAAAAGGGCTACAGGTGTCCTTGGTGGTGGTGGTGGTGGTGGTGTGTGTGTGTGTGTCAAGGGGGGCGGGGTGCAGTCTGATCCTCTCCAGGAAAGAGCAGCCAGCTCTATGGAGCAGCAGGGGAATGAGAATGGGATATGACCCTTGAGGTAGAGAGTGGGCAGTTGGACTGCCAGCTGCCTTGCAGAAGGCCAGGACCCCCTGGCATGAATGAACTGATTGAAAAGTTGACAGTCTGGTGTGGGATGGGGAGGGCAGGGTTGCCAACAGAATGAAAGCCAGATTTCTGTGCCACACGCAGCCTCTGGAAAGCAAGGAAGGACTCGGAGCTTCCAGAGGTTACCCCTGGGGGCGTGGACCCAAGCTCCTCACCTCCCAGAGCCTCCAGACGTCATCAAAAGACTTGAAGGCACGCTGGAAACAGAGGCAGAACCAGGGGAATAGCGACTGCAGCGCCCCGGCGCCCTTGCCCTCTGTGGGGAGAGCAGCAGAGACAGGCCAGGGTCAGGGACAGGCAGGGACATGTGAGGCGGGTTGGCAGTGGGGTGTCAGCGGGGAGGGTGAAGTCCAGGGTGCTACTGTCCGGCTGCTCCCTCGACCCTGGAGATGGCTGGGAATCACTTTCAACTCTGGGCCCATCCTCCTCTCCCATGATCTTTCCTCCCTCGCCCAGGCAGCCTAGGCCTTAGCCGGATCCTTCCTCCCAACTCCCAGTGCCCGCCCTGGAGGGCCGACTTGGGGCAAGTCACTGACTCAGGTGCTCGGCGTACACAGGGTCCAGGAAGCTGATGAGGGTGCTCAGCATGTCCAGGTTCCTGCCCACCCCGATGTTGATGACACAGCTGTGCTCCTGCAGTGATGGGGGAGGAAGAGGCACCAAGTCCCTTCCTGTGCTGGGGACGCCAGAAGAAACAGCCCTGCCGCATCCCGCCAGCTTCCACTCTATCTCCAGGTTGGGTGGGAGGGTCTCTGCAGCAGTCTGGGTGTGTGCGTGTGGGCCCCTTGCTCTAGCCATGAATCTGTGACCCACAGGTTCTTTGCAGAAGCTGAGGAAAGCGTGGTCTCAGAGGATGGCAATGAGGTCACAGACGGGACACGGAACTGAGGCAGCGGCTCATTTTGGTGCAGAAGTATTTCAGCATCCCTGTGCGTACATTTGCCATGAACTTTTGAAAGATTCCTAGGGTATGCATGGATTTCAAACATTTCTTTACAGCCAGATTAAATGATTTAAAATACAGTTTTTAGAATTTTTACTTATTTCTTTTGTCTATTGAGAGAGAGAGAGAGAGAGAGAGCTCTTCCATCTGCTGGTTTCCTACCCAAATAGCCACAGTGATCAGGGCAGGGGTAGGACAAAGCCCAAAGCTCCATTCAAATCTCCCACGTGGCTGGCAGACAAACAGGCGCCTGAGCCCTCACCTGCTGCCTCCCAGGGTGTCCGTTAGCAGGAAGTTGGATTGGGAGCAGAGTAGCCGGGCCTCAAACTCAAGATTTAGATATGGGATGCAGGTGTCCCAGGCTACGTACCCACCCCTGACCTAACCCTTGAATTCCATTCTCATTAACTGTGGGAATGCAGCTCACCTATGTGTGCACCTCTGGGTGGCTGTGTAGGTACTTGTGAGTGTGCAGGTGTGTGTGTGTCTGTGCATGTGGTAGGGGTACAGGAATGTCTCCAACGTGGCTCTCGTCACAGCGTGCGCACACACACATACCCTGCTGGGACAGAGCCAGTCATCACAGGGGAAGGTACAGTGAACATCTTGTTGTGGTGTGGACACAGCAGTGAGGGGGTTCTTGGCAGCCTCAGGGAGGCTGTGAGGAGCAGTTTTCCAGGGAGGGTGCCCCAGGCATCAGTGCCTTCAAACCCCCCAATCTGGGTAGTAGAGAGTACACAGGGCATCCCTGAGTCAACGTGTGCTGGAAGGGCTGGCTCCATGACAGGAGCAGTGAGAGGCAAGTCCCAAGAGGAGGCCCCGAGTAATGTTAGGCCTGCTCACATTACTGGATTTCATCCTGGGGGCCCTGGGGAGCAGTTGCAAGAGTAGGTGCCTTCCTTGGGGGAGAGCGGCTGGCCAGCAGCATTTTACCCCCTTCTCAACTCCATACCTGCTTCCCCCTAGAACACATCAGCTGGGTTTGGCATGGCCCTCCCGGGCACCTCCCGGGGCAGATAAGGGGAGAGGGGCTGGGGACATGGCTGGAGGGTGTGGCTGGGGCATAGCTGGAGGGTGTGGCTGGGCATAGCTGGAGGGTGTGGCTGAGGTGTGGCTGGAGCTAATGCCTGTTTGCCCGAACCAGGGCTCCAGAGCTCACCGTTTTCTGCAGGAAGAACTGAAAGAGCCAGAAGGTCTCATGGTCATGCTCCACCATCAGCTGAAAGAGCATGGCCATCTCGTGGAAGCCCTGCTGGTACTCTGTGGAGGAGGAGACCAGGGCTCAGGATGGGCTGGGCAGTGCAGGGCTCACCTGGCTACCTGCTCACCTGCCCACCGGCTCACCTGCCTGTCGGCTCACCTGGCTGCTGGCTCACCTGGCTGCTGGCTCACCTGGCTGCTGGCTCACCTGCGTCCCAGCTCACCTGCCCACTGGCTTACCTGGCTGCCAGCTCAGCTGGCTGCTGGCTCACCTGATCCCCAACTAACCTGACCCCCAGGTCACCTGGCTGTCAGCTCACCTGCCTGTGTGTTGCAAACGTAGCCCAGGAGCAGGACCTTCTCCAGCCTCTTCTTGTCGATGAGCACGTTACCCAGGGGGTCTTTGTCATAGAGCTTCTTGATGTCACAACCTGGGTCAGGGGGTGGCAGGCGAGCAGTAGCAGGAACCACAGAGGAGTGGATCCCCTCCCATCATCCCAGGAGCACAGGATGGGGAAGGGGTGGGCGAAGGCACACCAGCACCCTGAGGCTCAGCTCCTCACCACCCCTCTCCCAGCTGGCAGCATTTCTCTGCACCCCTAAACATTTCTTTTGCCCAGAAACACCCACTACCCCTTTCCTATCTGTCCAGCTAAGGTCAAGGCTAGGTGGATGGAGAGTCAGAGCAATTGACGGTCTAGACAGCCCCCAAATAGAGCTCTAGGGGCTCTAGTGGGGTGGCCCCTAGTGGGGGAATTGCCTCAGGTTGGACTGGGTTCCAAGCCTTGGCAGTTCCTGGGACCCCAGGAATCCCACTGGAAATGTGCCATGGCTGGTGGGCATAGGACCACTTCTCCTGCTGGCTGCTGCCTCTGCCACTCCTGCTACCCGCTGCCACCTCTGCCGCCAGCTGCCACCCCTGCCGTCCCTGCTGTCCCTGCCATCCCTGCCGCCATTGCCACTGCGCCCTCCCTGCTGGCCCGCTCACTGATGTTATTCCGAGTCTCCACGAAGTTGCAGTGCAGGTTCTCCAGGAGCGGCTGGAGCTTCTCATACATCTGGCACAAGGCCTCATAGTTTTTCCTGGGAGAACAGAACTGAGGCTTAACAAGGGAGTGGCTCCCTTGCCCAAGTTGGGGAACCCTCGGGGCAGCTCCTGGGGCCAGGGGGACACAGTGGAGAAGGCGACACCTAGCCCAGCCATGCCCCTGCCTGTATTGGTCCAGATGCCCAGCCCAGCCTCCTGGGTTCTGCACCCTGGCCCCACGGCTCAATACTGGGTCCCAGTTGCCCCCCCTGGTGGCCCAGGCCCTGGGGGTGCCAGCTTCCCGCCCTCATCCTGTCTCCTTATCTGGAGAGTGGGTTCTAAGGCTGGCAGCTAGAGCTCAGAACAGAGTCCTGGGGGAGATGGAGTTTTGTGTTCCATTATTCTCCTGGGCTGAATGGAGCTGAGGAGAAAGCATGGGTGGGGGCTGGCTGCACCTGCTGTATGCAGGGCCAGCTCAACATCCACTCCCTGCCCCCGGGGATAGGTGAGTGAGGGGTGTTCTCAGAAGGAGATGGAATATGGGGCAGGTGGCAGCACCCTACCTCCTGGTGCTGTCCACGGTGAGCCGCTCGTCCTGGGAGCTCTGCCACGAGTAGTAGCCTGTGAGAAACTTCCAGGCTTCTGTTCTCACGAAGGGATGCAGACCCTGGCACAGTGGGGGGAGAGGGGACAGGTCAGGAGGTGCGAGGTCGTCCAGGCATGCCCTGTCCCCTACCTTCCGCACCCCCAGCTCCAGGGCAATCCACATGGGGAGCAGGGAGGCACGCAGGGACCACACCCGCTCCAGGATGTTAATGCAGATGAAGTCTCGGGACTTGGCCAGTTGGCCGTTCTCGTCGAAAAAGCTATTCCATTCAGTCTTGTCAATGGGTGGTTTTCTCTTTACCTGCAAGGACAGGGTCAGGCTGACCTGCAAAGCAGAACTGCCTCCCCCACCCAACTCACCCCGTAAAAAAAAAGAAAGAAAAAAAAACAGGGCTAGAAAGAGGCCTGTGCGCCTGTGCAGGTGGGGTCAATTACAGGTGACTTAATGGGCAGAGCAGCTAGTGAGCAGGTGTAGCTGAGTTGCAGTGGAATCCCAAGAAGCCACATCAACAGATGTGTTATCAGGAGTGGAGCAGGCAGCAGCCGGAAGCCCAGAGCTCCATCCGGGTCTCCCAGTGGGTAGCAGGACCCGAAGGTGCCTTAGCAGGAACCCAAATCAGAAGCAGAGTGGTCGGGATTTGAACCAGCAGAGGGTTGCTGGGTGCCAACATTGCAGGCAGTGGCTTAGTCACTGCTTTTCATCTTCAATTTGACTTGCTAGATGTAAAGACACAGTAAAGGAAACATTTTATTTTTGCACTAAAAATTAGGGATGTATAGGAACAGGACCTTTCCCATCTAATGCATGTAAAAACAAATGCTATAGAAAACAAGGCCTTGGTAAAAGTCTAAAGCATGATACGTGGTAGACATTGGGAGAATTTCAGTTCCGAGGGGTCAGCTTGGTGGTGTATCAGTCTAGTCTTCCTCCTGCATTGCCAGCATATGGGCTCTGGTTCAAGTCCCAACTGCTCCACTTGCCGACTAGCTCCTTGCTTATAGCTTCAGAAAGCAGCGGGGGGAGCCCAGAGAAACGGCTCAATGGCTAAAGCCACACCTTGCATGTGCCAGGATCCCAAAAAGGCACCAATTCATGTCCATCCAGCTCCCTGCTATGTAGCCTGGGAAAGTAACAGAGGACGGCCCAAAGCCTTTGGGACCCTGCACCTGTGCGGGAGACCCAGACGAAGCTCCTGGCTCCTGGCTCCTGGCTTCAGATTGGCTCAGCTCTGGCCATCGTGGCCACTTGGGGAGTGAACTAGCGGATGGAAGATCTTTGTATCTCCTTCTTTCTATAAAATGTTCCTTTCCAATAAAAAAATAAATAAATCTTAAAAAATAAAAAAAAAAGAAAGAAAAAGCAGTGGAAGAAACAGCTCAGGTTTTTGGCCTCTACACGCACACGGGTGACCTAGACGAAGCTCGCACCTTTGGATCAGCTCTACTCTGGCCATTGTGGCCATTTGAGGAGTGAGCCAACAGATGACAGATCTCTGTCACTCTCTCTCTCTCAGCACCTCTGCTCTTCTTTTATTATTGCTGTCACTTATTTTTATTGGAAAGGCAGATATACAGAGAGGAGGAGGAACAGAGAGGAAGATCCTCCATCTGTCGGTTCACTCCCCAAGCAGCCACAACCACCGGAGCTGAGCCAATCCAAAGCCAGGAGCCAGGAGCCTCCTCCAGGTCTCCCATATAGGTGCAGGGTCCCAAGGCTTTGGGCCGTCCTCGACTGCTTTCCCAGACCACAAACAGAGAGCTGGATGGGAAGCGGGGCTGCTGGGATTAGAACCTGCGCCCATATGGGATCTCGGTATGTGCAAAGTGAGGACTTCAGCTGCTAGGTTACCACGCTGGGCGCAGTAACTGTGGTTTTCAAGTTAAACAAATAAATCTGAAAGAAAGGGAGAGAGAGAGAGAGATATTCAGTTCTGAAAGTCAATGTGTTGTATTTTCTTGTAGTGAGCGTCAACAGCACAGATGACTGTGCAGTGCTGTTTGAAGCACCTTGTGTCCCTGTGTGCATCTCACTTTGATCTTCACAGGCATTTGTGGGGTGGGCATGGCTGCTAACCCCTTGTGCAGATCCATAAATGGAGGCCAGGCGGTCACACAGCCAATGTCAGTGCTGAGCTGTGGGCCCAGTGCTCGTGGGTGCTGGGGTCAGAGGGCTCCGGCGGTGAGGTGGTGGTGGGGGGGGCTGATAAGCGGGCCTAGAGATGGCCAATGAGCAGAAGAGAGATATAACTCCCTCCTCACTGAAGATGAAAAGCACTGCTTAAAGTCATATGCTGTGGGCCCGGCACGGTGGCGCAAGTGGTTAAGGTCCTCGCCTTGCACGCCCGGGATCCCATATGGGTGCCGGTTCTATCCCGGCAGCCCCGCTTCCCTTCCAGCTCCCTGCCTGTGGCCTGGGAAAGCAGTAGAGGACGGCCCAAAGCTTTGGGACCCTGCACCCGCGTGGGAGACCCAGAAGAGGCTCCTGGCTTTGGACCAGCATACCATCGGCCATTGCGCTCACTTGGGAGTGAATCATCGGACGGAAGATCTTCCTCTCTGTCCCTCCTCTCTGTCTATCCGCCTTTCCAATTAAAAAAATAATAATAATAAAAATAATAAATCTTAAAAAAAAAAGTCATATGCTGTACAGGGAGTAAAAGGGGATGAACAAAGGTGCTGGGGCTTGCAAATTGTTAGTAGGTGTGCCACGCCCCAGGGTGCCTGCTGATACAGGAGGAAAGAGCAAGCACACTTTACTTTTTCTGTAGGGAAAAACCTTGCTTCATCCTGGGTTTGAAACCACCTGCTTACAGAAGTATTACTGCCACCTGGTGGCGGCGTACCCAAATCATTAGCCACACCACAAAGCAGCATCTGTCAGGCAGACAAGCCCAGCAGCCCTGTCCCAGCCCCTGTTCCTCCCAGTGGACAGGAGCCCTCACCAGGATAAAGGAGGCTGAGCTCCGGGCAGAGAGGCTGTTTTCCGGAGAGAGGGTGGTCATGGCTGCTGCCGGCCTTCTTCTAGGTGGCTTCCGGCTCAGTGATCGGTGGCGCTCCTCGGTGTGTGTGTTGGTAGGGATGAGCTGAATTCCCAAGAGGAAGCAGGCCTCTCCAACTTGGCACAGTGCTTCGAGTCAGTCAGCGGTGTGTCACAAGATCCCCGGAACTCTCATCACAATGGCCTTGTAACCTCGGAGCATCCCAAAGGTCTCACACACACACACACACACACACACATCCGGCAGCTTAGGGCTCTACCCTCTTGTTCGCCTAAAGGTGGGATGGACAGGGTTGGGGTGAATTTAGAAGAAATGAAGTTAGATTTTTTTTTAAAAAAAAAAGATTTATTTATTTTTATTGGAAAGTAAGATTCACAGAGAGAAAGGTCTGTCTGCCGGTTCACTCTCCAAATGGCCACAACAGCCGGAGCTGAGCCAATCCAAAGCCAGGAGCCAGGAGCTTCTTCCGGGTCTCCCACACAGTCGCAGGATCCCAAGGCTTTGGGCCGTCCTCGACTGCTTTCCCAGGCCACAAGCAGGGAGCTGGATGGGAAGTGGAACAGTCTGGACATGAACTGGAGCCCATATGGGATCCCAGTGCATGTAAGGCGAGGATTAGCCAATTGAGCCATCCCACCAGGCCCATTTAGACTTTTTAAAAATAAAATTTGTTTCTTTGTATGTTTGAAAAGCAGAGGAACAGAGAGAGAGAGGAGAGAGAGGTCTCCCGGCCAATGGGTTACTCCCCACATACCTGCAGCAGCCAGGGCTGTATCAGCCAGGAACTCCATCCAGGCCTCCTATTGGGGGCCCTTTCTATTGCATCCCAAATGCAAGAGCAGGAAGGTCAATGAGAAATGAAATAACCAGGACTCAAACCAGCACTGGCATTGCAGACAGCGTCTTAAGGTACTACACTGCAGTAAGAGTCTCCCAGTTTTCTTTTTGCATCAAAATAAACTTACCTTTGAGTTCTGTTTATCCTGAGCTCTGTGAGGTGCCCTCCTGTGGGCATGTCAGCTGTGAACACACTGGACAGCAGTAGCTCAGAGATGCCAAATTCCTTTCCTGGGACCACCCCACCAGGACATAGGGAACAGGAAGCCGTCCCACAGGCACCTGCTTTCCCCGCCACCACCCTCCCCAAGCTCATTAGCCCACCAGGCTCACCCCTTCGCCTCCTGCTGGCTGTGGGAGCTATGCTCTCACAGCGGGAGGGGGTGAGGGAGTCTGTCTTAGCTCTGTCCCCAAAGGTTATTCCTCAGTCTCAGCCTGGAGCATGTGGGAAGGGACAGCTCGCCAAGCAGGTGGGAGAGTGAGCTGGAATATAGACAGCGGGGACGCTAATGGAGAGAAGTGACGTCATGGCTAATTGCCTCTCGGAAGGCCAAACGCTCCAAAATGAATTTTTCATGAGACGAGAAAACATTTTACTTGTACAACCTGGGTCCCGGGGGAAGGAACGGGCAGCGCCTCCAGGAGATTCAAGTACCCAGGACTTACTTGCCCCTGCACCTCCCCTGGGGATGCCCACCAAGGAAGTGAAATAGAGCCTCGGGTGACCAGCAGCTGGGCTCCAGCAGGGACAGAAGGAGGTCTGTAGGTGCTCCGCTCATACCCCGAGCTGGAACGCCAAGCCCAGTTGGAGCACATTTCTGCACCAGCGCTGGGGGTTTTCTCAAGCGAGAGGGTTATTCTTCTCCCGCAGGCTGCTCCTACATTCAGAGTTGAGATCACCGAGCCCCGGGGACCACTTGTAGCAACTGTACATCACAGGGTGAGGGGTGGGAGCCTGCTCAAGGTCACACAGCAAATCAAAGGCAGACCTGGTGCTGGCAGCCTGCAGCTTGCCTCCCCCGCCCAGCCCAGTGTCTTCAGATCTCTGAACAAGCCAGACTTGGCAGGAAGGAGAGGGGGTGGGTCACCCAGGTGAGGGGGCTCCCCAGTCCCGTTGAGATGAAGATCAGCTGGTTCTGTTCTTCAACTGGGCTCCCTCCCCCTGCCCTGAGGGGGGGAGTGGTGCAGTGGGCACTGGGGCGGGGGTGCAGGATGGAGGGTGGGGAGAGAAAAGGTGGGTATCTCCCCCACTTAGCTCTGGCCCCGTACCCACTCCCTGCAGCACAAGATGTAAGGGGATACTAAGATAAGAAGCTGGCTTGATGTCTCTGCAGCTTCAAAGAGAACAGACACTGCCGGTGTCATCTGGGCTCATCAAAGTCTGCAGGAGAGGTTTGATGTGTCTGGCCTGCCCCCTATGGCGGGGTGGCGGGCGGGCAGTTGGGCGGGCGGGCGGGCAGGAGGCAGGAGTCAGCCCTGGTCTCGCCGTGCCATGCCACTGGGGCCTTCGTCCATGTCTCTTCCCATAAAGTGAAGGGGCTCCCCGACCCCACCTTTCAACCAAGGTTTTCAACCAAGGCAGCTTCTAGGAGCCAGGCACTCCTACTGCCCGACATTCATTTTCTCAGAAGGTTCAGACAAGACTGGGGCCTGACATGGGTGAGCACAGAGGCACGGAGGCCTATCCAGGGCCACACACCAGGTCAGCCCCTCTTTTTGATTTTTCTATTTGTTCGTTTGTTTGTTTTTAAGATTTATTTATTTTATTGGAATGGCAGATGTACGGAGAGAAGGAGAGACAGAGAGAAGATCTTCCGTCTGATGATTCACTCCCCAAGTGGCCACAATGGCCAGTACTGCAGTGATCCGAAGCCGGGAGCCAGGAATTTCTTTCAGGGTCTCCCACGTGGGTGCAGGGTCCCAAGGCTTTGGGCCGTCCTCGACTACTTTCCCAGGCCACAAGCAGGGAGCTGGATGGGAAGTAGAGCTGCCGAGATTAGATCCGGCGCCCGTATGGGATCCCGGCATGTTCAAGGTGAGGACCTTAACCATTATGCTATCATTCCGGGCCCTCTTTTTGTTTTGTTTTGTTTTGTCTGGAAGCTTTTACTTTCAGAAAAGATGAAAGAATCCTACAGATACCTCTGAAGAAATCAAACAGGGTCTTGGCCACAGTGGAGCAAAGGCAACCTGACCACAAAGAGCCCTAAGCACTCTGGGCTCATGTTTAAGCTCAAGGTCGGATGGCCAGCATTTCTCTCTTTTCCAGTCTTCTCTGGGGGGCAGCCCAGGCCCTCCCCTCAGCCACAGACCGTGAACAAAAGCACAGATGGTATGCATTGGGTCAAACCTGTGGCCAGGTGAGCCCAGGCCTTGGCACTGGCCTTGTTGGTGCTCAGCACACACACATGGCTTGCTGCACACTGGGTACCATAGGGGGTGATTAATGCCATCCCAGAAGCTGCTGGGGGACCAGTTGGCAAGCTGGATGCTTCAGACCTCTGGCCTGTGTTTCTCGCCAGAATCACGAGAGACCCAGGGACAGGAGCCCAGAGCTTTGGAAAACTAAGGAGCCCCAAACGCCCATGCCCTGGTCAGCAGCTTGTGAATTCAGCCTGAGACAAGGTGCAGCCATCAGCACAAACCTCATCGTTGTCACTGACCATGGGTGCCGTGCTTGCCATCCCAAGGTGTCAAAGGAGTTGTCTCCTCCCACCGCAGTCTGGCCATTGGCATCTGGCCATCATACTGGATGCTGTGTTCCAGGCAGCGGAGCTCCCAGCAGGCACTGCAGGACTGACCCAGGTGGGGGCAGATGCATGTACCATGCAGAGGTTTCCAGTCAGGAGTCGAAGGCAGCAGGGACAACCAGACAGTGGGTCCCAGGTGCTGTCCTCACAAGCCCAGGGGAATGACAGCCTCTCCTTCACACCCACTCTATGAGATGACAGGCCCCTGTCTGATGATGGAGACAAGCTCCTCCCGCCAACTCACCTGGCACCTGCGGATTCTACCCTGGAAGATTGGCAACAACCACCGTAGGAAAGGAAGAGTAGGGTGAGCCCCTTGCACAGATCTTGCAAAATTCCGGTGCAAAATCAGTGCACATGTATCTTGCCCATTCCCATTGCCACACCCCCCACGCACACACACACACAACTCCAGCTCCACCTGTTCACAAGCAGTGTCCTGCCCTCTGTGGGGAAGCCCTTCAGTGCACTGCAAATTTCAAAGCTCTCGGCCTCCTCACCCAAGACTCCAGTAATCTCCTTCATGGTCTGGGAGTTCAGGGAGGAAGAGGCTCCCAGCCAAGTGTCTGGAGTCAGCAGCTCCACGCTCTCACAACCAAAGCTTTGGCCCACGGGTTAATTAACCATATGCTGCTAAATTCCAGTACTGGTGTGTGTGTTGGTGGGAGGAAAGGGTCACTTCCAGATCTCTCTGTTATTCTAAGTTAATCCTATTGTGATCAGAGAACACACTTTGTCATTCTTCCAGTTTTCAATGTCCCAGAGCACAGCCTAAGCTGCAGCCACCTGGCAGTAATGAAGGCACCTTCTGCTGACGCTGTGAGGGTTTGGCATGCTGGTCTCGTCTCTCCTCTGCCACCGGTCAGGAAGGGGTGAATGTTGGTCTGTGCTGACCATTGGATTTCTCCATTTCCTTTGGATGTTCTGGTGTTGGGGGCATGCTGATGCAAAATCATCACCCTTCTAGATGAATTGCTTTGGGGATCAGCATGTAGCAAGGAGCTGCATCCGAAGGGGAAGCTGCTGGGGCTGGAACCAGTGTCCAGATGGGATGCTGTGTCCCTGACAGCAGCTTAACCCACCGAGCTGTGGCACTGCCCCAAAGTGCAATGTTTAAGGGATTGTGAAAAATCCTCATTTATAATGTTACTGTATTGGGTTTACGGCAGTGTTCCGATGCCTTATGAGGAGGCGTTGCTTGTCTCAATGACACATTTATTTCAGCTACACAGGAAAATCAGACATCTCAGATGTTTAAAGAGGCAAAACTAATCAAGCTTCTAAGCGGTACTGATGATTTCGAGTTTAGTTTTCCTAACTTGAGTTAATCAAAGTTTGATGGCCATGGCCGTGCTTTAGGCCATGTCTAGGCCTAGGGATTGGAACTCAACATCAACAGGACAAGCTCTGTCTTCA